GTTTAATGAGTTCGGTTTTTAACATCTCATACGATCGCTCGTTTCGCGGTTTTAGTATAATATCGCACACTTCTACTGCGTATTTTTGGTCCAAACCACTGACCGCGTACCCGAACTTGGTAGAGTCTTGGGTAATTCCGGAAGCAACGAAACTACTTTCAAGTATGGAAAACCATAGTTCCGGATCTGCTGCTATAAATTGTGGCACTTTAACTGTTACACGGTCGATGGAAATGTCTGTCTGTGCGGTATCACTATGTCCAGTAGCCATGGTTAATTGTTGTTGCTGTATTTATTCTGTACACTTAAACACTATGATAGTTGCTAATTACCGATGAAAGTTTAATTATTTATAAAATACTATTCTAAACTGTACACTTCTGCAATTGTTAAACTCACGCACGTTCCGAATAAACTTACCTACTTGCGTTTTTCGGTCGGGGTCACCAATTTGTGGGTGATTATTGACGATGAAGAAAAACTCTTTGTTGAAGAGAGAAGTAGAGAATTTATTTTACAGAAAATGAAGATGAGTAAAACAGAATAGCGGAAAGTCGGTAGATGTTAATATGAAGAATGGCTGAGAGAGACTGGTCTTTGAGGGTGCAGAAATTATGTAACGAAGTGAAAAGTGAATATGCACATGTGTTTTTATTTTAGGGTACAGCTCTTGAAAAGAAGGAACCGTCGACTTTCGTTCTCAGAATTTTCTGTCGATCGGTTTTTGTTAGTATGAAATAGGATACTTTATGTGGGTTAGGTATAGATACATTCAAAAGGCAGGAAGTCAGATCCAGAAAAGAAACTGTTAACATGCTGTTAGTAGAAAGGCAGTTCGTTAGAATATTTACAAGTTGAAGAAAAGCAGAAGTTATATATATACAGAGTGTTACATATTATTTACAATGATTATGATGATATATCTACAAAACAAAAGACTAAAATACATAGTGTAATAGGCGAGGGTCGCCACATATTACTTTTTTAGAATTACATGTATTTTGTGATGATTCTAAAAGGACGTATGACGCTTTTGTATATGTTACGAACTGTGTATTTAGATGGTAGGTTCTCGTGACTTTGAAATCACGAGTCGCGCCTGTCAAAAGTCTTTTACTATCCAGGCTAGAAATTTGCGGAGCGGTACTTTTAACCGATTTAGTAAGCAACTTGATTAATTCACTCAACATTAAGTTTCATCTTACAAAGTTATTATAAGTTATTAGGGAAAAATACTGGCCCATTTTCGACTGTAGTATGGTAAGAGGTGTTATACGCTTTTGCGTAAGATTTTTCAGGGCAAAGCCGAATGCAGCACATCAGCTTATGGCTGATTTGCCTGCAATTAGAATTCAACAATCCAGATCTTTTGTTAATAGGAAGATCGAGAGCGTGACAGAATATGTATTAAGGTGTATATTACACATTTTATTTGTTTATCAACAAACGCCGTGCATATCGAATTGATTATAGACTTCAGCTCAAAGGCATTTTTAGCTGCACTCAAAGGATTTATTACTAGAAGAGGTAGGATCACAAATATTTATTCTGACAATGGCACCAATTTTGTTGGTGCTAATCGAGAACTTAAACAATTGTATCAATTATTTCATGATAATAAATTTAAAAACCAGTTATGCGATGCTCTCTCGTACGAATCAATCAACACGTGGCACTTTCTACCACAAAAATCACCGCGCTTTGGAGGAATTTGGTAAGCCGGAATAAAGTCTATCAAATATCATTTCAAACGCATTGTTGGAAAGATGACAATGACATACGAAGAATTGTATACCATTCTAACCCAGATTGAACCAATCCTAAATTCTCGTCCTTTCCTGCCTATTCCCGATTCACCAAATGACCCGGAAGCCCTCACACCCGGACACTTCCTAATCGGCATGCCACTTACTGCGATCCCGGAACCGGATCTTACCGAGCTAAATCCAAATCGGCTATCCCAATGACAACATATCCAACAACTCAGCCAAAATTTCTGGAAACGCTAGAAATATGAATACTTGACTTTGTTACAACAACGACTAAAATGGATGTCTATCAAAACCAATATGTCAAAGAGCCCAAAAATCACCAAAAACATGTAAATAAATACAATTATTCTGATTTTTATTTTGGGCGATACAGTCGTCACTCCAAATAGGTAATGTATGAAATACCCACGTTCAGGACTGCCCTTTCTGCTAATCCTTCATGTCAGAAGTACATGTAGGAGTACTTGTTATCTCCAAAGTTGATGTCCAAGTTGTAGCACGAAAGCTGGCTCAAATAAAACATGTGGGAATGCGTCAAACGTGGTACAAACATGTGTTGTACTAAATCCATTGAGAAAACACTCACGGTGCTATTTAGTACTTGCGAGGATACAATGTCTACTTTCATAAGTGTAATGGCTGCTTCTGCTTTTCGATGATAGAGCTCTAACACAACGGTTGCTGCCCGACTTCTTTTACCCTGTGCTTTTATTTCGGCAGATGTCACTTCATGATGAACGTTTCACGAACGTCAGGCCAGGTTTCGTAGTATTTTTTAAAAAGGGTCAATCTTTGTACGTTAGTTAACGACTTGCAATCAAATTTATATTTACATGTTGCCTGTAAAATGAAATACACATTTTGATGTTCACAAAACACCTTTAAATGTTGAAAACTCATTTTTAGGTTAGGTTTCATTTTTCAACTACTGTAGTTCACTTCCTCGTTTCATACGATTTCCCGGCATTTTTCCGTCGCTTTTGTTCGTCACTCAGTCTTTCCCATCCCATTTTGCGAGGTTTTGTATTCATTTTAAACTAATTCTTCAGTTGTATTGCTCGAAAAGCAAACAAATAAATACATAATAGAGAGGAACGCACTATGTAGATAGCACCTTTGTTGAGCAACTAACGTGACGCTTGTGCCAACAACTTTCAGGCTACTTTTCACCTACCAATCTACCATCTTGTGTTCGAGCATTTGGTTCTTTTCTTTGGAACTATCTCATTTTTCGAGAATTGGGCACATAGCCCTTTTGTTACTTCTACATCCCAATTAAGCCAGGACATTCGGTATGGACAAGAAAATGTTGAAGATATGATGTACCACGACGTGTGAAAGGTCAAAATTCACACTTGAAAGGTCATGTGTTACTAAAAATACAATTTAATTATTGAAACTTTAGCAGACACTTAATTCGTTGTACAATCAGAGACAGCGATGGAGCTTCAGATAAACTGTAAAAAGCAACAGCTTACGCTTTTTAATGGTAAAAAAGTAGAAACAATATCTGTAAACAGTGTTGATACGGTTACATTCATATGCTGTACTATTTTGTAGACCAAAGTTTGGCGAAAAAGAAGTTTTCTATCTAGTTTACGCTGCCTCAGCGAAAGATATACGCACCTTACTTGATAGAGTGACAACAATCATCAATTATCCGAAACTATCATGCCGAAACGAGTATGACAATTTCTGAGTATGCTAAACTTTTACAAGAAAGTCTTGTCGGACGCTGCCTACACGCATAAATTGCTTCAAGGAAACTTAAAAGGCAACACATTGCTACGATACAACAAAACAGCTGACGACGGATTCCAATTGAGTATGAAACAACTTCCTGAAACTAGTCTCCTACACCATTCTCAACCAATGTAATGCAGCATTATCTATATTTTGTGTTTCACTTTCGATCGCTGCTTAGACGCTGCGTTACAAAAATACCACGATGAAAACTAGGAGCTTTTCACATTCTTTACTAGCAAACTCTCCAACGTGGAGACAAAAGCGCTTTCGATCGAGAACTTCCAGCAATTTATATATCATTAAGCACATCCGACATTTTCAGAAGCCCGTGACTTTATCATTTTCACGGATAACTAACTAACTGACCAATGCTCTTCTAGGCAATCACATAGCTCATTTTCAACAAACATACGACAGGAACAGCCAGACTATTCTCTACCTCATCATTTCGTTTCGCCATTTTAAGTCATTTACATTCCTCAACGCACTCTGGTAGGCATTCGTATATCTATCGTCGTGATGTCCTACTCTGAACGATACCATTACTGCTTCACATTTCAACTCTTCAATGAACTGTCTTATCTAAAGAATATCAAACACATCCCTACCACAGCATACCACCCTACAGATAATAAAATAGTCCAACGGATTTCATTGTTAGTTGAAGACTATAACAACATGTTATCAAAACAACAGCTGGACTCAGATTCTTTCCACAGCACCTTAGGCATCCGAATAGCCTGAAAAGATGGCCTGAAAGCAACAGCCTCTGACATGGTATATGAAAAATTAATAAGCCTACCGAGTAAATTCCTACCTCTGCCGAACCTACAGATCTATTGCAGACGATCTACCTACGTAATTGATACGGCTTGTATCTGGAACACGATATGGGGACAAGCAAACAGCAGGAACGGCTACATGCTCACTGTATAACTACCTAAAAGAGCTAAAAAACCGTATCTGTTCACAGACTTATGCCAGTATACATCATGTCAGAAGGACAATGTAACAACTCACTTTCGTGCTTACAATCACCAACAACGGCGCCTCACAGTCAATAAAAATAATTCATTCAGGACTTCGAATGCACTTCCCGAAATACTTCAGAGCAGGATGACCAATATCATTCATCATTAGGGTGTACAAATGTAATAATCCATTATACATGCACATAATTACCTTCAATATCGATCGACCAATCTAGGTCATTGTTGCACGAGAATCAAAATGCTTAATGTAAATTTCGCATATAAATCCATGTAAATACTGTAGTATAAATAGGATGATTGATCTTTCTTTAGTTAGCTAAGCACATAGCTACACAATAAATATTTAAAAATGAAATCAGTCAGATGCTGACAGGCTGAGAGAACAATTTCGTATTACAACTTGACTGAAACGCTCATAATACATCAACTTGCTGTTACTTGTTTTTATCATGTTATAATCTTATCCTAATAGTTATAAAATTATATCTAGAAATGTGGGCCTACTGCAACTTGTGGTGAATATTTTAAAATGTTACCTTTGAATGATAGAGAGAGGGAAACTATTGTGCATCTACATAATGAAATTCGTCATGATGTTGCAATGACTGGTGTTACTAGTGAGCAGATGGAATTGGACTTGAAATATTTTGAGGGAAAATTGACGAACAACACTGGCATAGAAATCGCTGGAATGCGATACTATCATCCACGAATAAGAGAATTCCATTCTGAGCTTGTATTGTCAAAAATGAACACAATGGTAAGTTTATTGAGGTACTTAAAATTGACATTTTCCTTCATAATAATTTAATGACGTCATATGAAACAGCTTATAAACCAAAATGATCGTCATACACCCAAAGGTAAATTTCTTGGCGAAATTTTATTTCCCAATTTGGACAAAAAAAGAAACTAGTCACCTATCCATCGATAAAAGCAGGGGTATTACTTAATCCTTTTGTTAATAATTATTCTTAATAGATATGTAATGTAAAAGCCTTTGCTATCATTACCGTTTAATTTACTTACAGAATAAAACTACTCTAAGTAGTATAATACCGTTGTCCATAGTCATTAATGTACATAAATAGGACAAATCGTTGGTTTCCGATGTGTAATTGGGATTGAAAATGTACATGATCGAATTAGCATCTACTTGGTGAAAACTGATAATTTTATTATAAAAAACAATTAGTATAATTGGGATCCGTCAAATGGGAGGAGACTAAAAACATGGCACCGATTAGGGAAAATTTATCGTAGTTCCTATAGCGTACCGTGCTTCCAAGTTTTTAAATTACGATAAAATGATGAGTATAGACACAACATGTGATTGGGCTGACACCAAGCCTCGGAAAGGAAATTTCGTTGAAGGTGATATAAAAACAAAAGACGACACGTCATCGGTGCACTTAATTTATTTGGTATGGACACTAATTATATACTATATACAAAAAAAAATTAAAAAAGACAAGTTCGCACACCACACACTGTTTCGATATACAAGCACACACAAAATACCCTATAGAAAATATACAATATGACAAATAAATCGACAAGCACACACACAATGAAAATATACAATATGACAAATAAATCGACAAGCACACACACAAAGAAAATATACAATATAAATAACTCCGGCAAGCACACACACAATGAAACCATACAACATATATATACAAAACTTCGAGACAAAAAGAACAGGATATATCTATCTCTCTCTCCCTTGCCGCTGGTGGGTGGAATGTCAGAGATAGGCGAAATAACACACATGAAAAAAAAATAGAGGATGATTAGTAGATCGGAGGTTAGGATCTCTCTCTCCCTTGCCGCTGGTGGGTGGAATGTCAGAGATGGTTTTTGATTGCGCTGGGACCAGTATTTATACCAACCTGAGGTAATGAAAAGGGGTGGAATGTAGAGGGGTTGAAGGTGGGGTGATGAAGTGGGGTAAAATTGGTTAAAGAATGAACGAATGTGAGATAACGGGTACTTAGGGAAAAAAAATGAAAAAAATGATGCTGGGAACGAACGTGGCATACTCGAAAACCTAGGATTAAAAAAAAAGAGCAAGTCTGTACGATAACTAGAAGAGAAAACAGAAATTGAAAGAAAGATAGAATTTATAGTGCGGGAAATAAGTAAAGAAATAAATAGAAAATAAAAAAAGGAAATAGATGTCTAGACAAAAAACCAGTTAATGAAAAAAAGAAAAATATTAAAAGAATTGAATAAAATTTAGTTTTCGAAATATGCCTCATGTAGGGGTTGTTGTTGGTAACGGTGAAACTTGTCGGACGGGTTGATAAGGGAAGTAGGTAGGTAAACATACCGGTCGACGAGTCTGGGTTTCGTGGAACAAATTTTGCATGTACTTTCCTACCAGGTACAACAAAGGTGAGCGTGTTTTTAATGCCAATCACATTATAAAATTCGGAAATAACAAATCCGGAAACGAGCCTTTAAATGCCGTCAAGTTTACTGCCTACTTTTTACAAACTTCGGATTTAAAAAGTGATTCGTGTTATATAATTGGTAAGGTGATTCTGGGTGATTTAAGCAATATCATATCAATGACTTGCACGTGCAAAGCAGATTTAAGAGAACGTTGCAAACATATTATTGCAACTTTGTTGTTGTTCTTAACCTCAAAATACTTATATCGTATCATTAGAATTGTTTAAATCAATNATTCCGGAAGCAACGAAACTACTTTCAAGTATGGAAAACCATAGTTCCGGATCTGCTGCTATAAATTGTGGCACTTTAACTGTTACACGGTCGATGGAAATGTCTGTCTGTGCGGTATCACTATGTCCAGTAGCCATGGTTAATTGTTGTTGCTGAATTTCTTCTGTACACTTAAACACTATGATAGTTGCTAATTACCGATTAAAGTTTAATTACTTATAAAATACTATTCTAAACTGTACACTTTTGCAATTGTTAAACTCACGCACGTTCCGAATAAACTCACTTACTTGCGTTTTTCGGTCGGGGTCACCAATTTGTGGGTGATTATTGACGATGAAGAAAAACTCTTTGTTGAAGAGAGAAGTAGAGAATTTATTTTACAGAAAATGAAGATGAGTAAAAGAGAATAGCGGAAAGTCGGTAGATGAAGAATGGCTGAGAGAGACTGGTTTTTGGGGGTGCAGAAATTATGTAGCGAACTGAAAAGTGAATATGCACATGCGTATTTTTTTTTATTTTAGGGTACAGCTCTTGAAAAGAAGAAACCGTCGACTTTCGTTCTCAGAATTTTCTGTCGATCGGTTTTTGTTAGTATGAAATAGGATACTTTATGTGGGTTAGGTATAGATACATTCAAAAGGCAGGAAGTCAGATCCAGAAAAGAAACTGTTAACATGCTGTTAGTAGAAAGGCAGTTCGTTAGAATATTTACAAGTTGAAGAAAAGCAGAAGTTATATATATACAGAGTGTTACATATTATTTACAATGATTATGATGATATATCTACAAAACAAAAGACTAAAATACATAGTGTAATAGGCGAGGGTCGCCACA